TCTTTTGATTTTTTTTTCTTTTTTCTCCTTCCTTCCTTTCCATCCTTCCACCTTTCTCTTGTTTTTTTTTTTTTTTTTTTTTTTTTTTTTTTTTTTTTTGGTATTTTTGGGACAGGATCTCCCTGTAGCCCCAGTTGGCCGAACATGCTGTGTATAGAGATCTGCCTGCCTCTGCCTCCCCAGTGCTGGGATTAAAGACGTGCACCACCACACCTGGCCTCTTTTTGTATTTTCTCTTTTTTTGTGTGTGTGTGTGGGGGGTCTTTGTGAGACAGGGTCTCCCTTATAGCCCCTGCTAGCCTGGCCAATGTACTATGTGTAGACCAGGCTGGCCTTGAACTCAGATCCAACTGACTCCCAGTGCTGGGACTAAAGGTGTACACCACCACACCCAGCTCTTTCTGTATTTTCTTAACATGGTACTTTTAATGCCTTTTTCTACCCCCACCTCACCTGACCCCATCTGCTTACTCTTTGACTGTAGGACATAGTCCAAAGCAAGGACTGCCTGGGGTGTACACACACCCCACCCCCACCCCTTTTGCCCACATTTCCGTGCTTTAGTTGAAGGGGCATCTCCTATTCAGGAATATAATTGTAGCTCAGTAGGTGGCTTTGGAAATTGAGCAGATCTAGGTCTGATATCCACTTTATACCTTAGATTATTTAAATCCTAGCTCAGTTTTTTTCATTTTTAAAATGAAGATAATATCTTGAGGCTCATATGCTATGAAAATTGTCAGCTCATTGGCTTTGAATGCTGCGGTGATGAGCAGCTGAACTCACTTCTATCTCCTACAGTGGTTTCCAGGCAACTTTGTGCTGTTGTAGTGCAGAATTGGGGCAGGGGGATGGGGGCATGGGAGGTGTAGCAGATAAAAAAGATACTTGCCTGGTTTTGTAAATTACACACTTTGGTTACTCTTTCATTGCATCAGCTGAATTGAGTAGTTAAGACAGAATGACATGAAAGCCTAAAATATTTACTCTTTGACCTGCAACAAAAAGTTTTATGATCCCTGATCTTTAAGAAAAAGGACCCTGCGGTTTGAGGGAGTCCGAATCAAAACAATCTGAGATACCAAATTTATCTGCATTATTTTGCCCATGCCTTATTGGTTTACTTACCTGATCAGTATTTTTGGCTGGTTGGTTCATACATTCCAGAAGTCAGTCATGTGGATAAAATTAGTAATCCGTATTGCTTAAAATTTAACTAATGGTATTGTACGTTTGGTGGTTTTAAAAATTGATAAATGCAATTTAAAAGTTTTTATTTTATTAGTTATTAATGACCTGTCAAGTTTTTTGTCATTTGTTTCCATATTAATCTTTAACACTTAGTATTCCTGTTAAACTTTAAGGTAAAACTTTTCAAGATTAAAAAAACTTTTTAAGGAACAAAATGCATTTTTACTATGTATATTTTAACTCTGTACCACTTTCCATACAGGGGATATGAAAGGTGAGGTATATCCATTTGGCATAGTTGGAATGGCCAACAAAGGGGATTGCCTACAGAAAGGGGAGAGTGTCAAGTTCCAGTTATGTGTCCTGGGCCAAAATGCACAAACTATGGCCTACAACATCACACCCCTTCGTAGGGCCACTGTGGAGTGTGTGAAAGATCAGGTCAGTGCCATGTCTCTGGATCTTAATTTGTTCTTTTATCTGTTGGGAAGCAGAGCCTTGACTTCTTTTTTTCAGTCAAGGGGAAGCCATCAACTAATATTCACTTAGTTTTTACTTGACTTTATTACTTTAAGAAAAAAAAAGAAGTGGCTACATTAGCAAAAAGAAAATAAGTGTGATTATTAATAATTACTATTACATAGTGGGGAAAATTTTAGTCATGCTTAGAATGAATAGTAGTGGTTTCCAAGGATATCTTCCCTGATGAATTCTGCCAACTAGCTGAATTGGCTTATCAGTAGTAATACCATGTTTTATAAATCTTTCCTACTGAAGGTTCGCACAATCGTTCAAAGTGAAATGCTGTTCCATTTTCCAGGATGCCCCCCATTTTAAGTTAGTGATTTTTGGTGTGTTTGTTTTTGTTTTCTCTGTCCAGTTTGGCTTTATTAACTATGAAGTAGGAGATAGCAAGAAGCTTTTTTTTCATGTGAAAGAAGTTCAAGATGGCATTGAGCTACAGGCAGGAGATGAGGTGGAGTTCTCTGTGATCCTTAATCAGCGCACTGGGAAATGCAGTGCCTGTAATGTTTGGAGAGTCTGGTGAGTTGTTTATTATCCTTGGATTAGTAACTACCCAGAGTTCACTCTCAATTTGTATATTCTGTACTTTGTCAGATTAAATTTCTTTAGTTTTCCTTTCTTTCGTCTTTTTTTGGGCCATTAGGTAATATATTTCCACTTTTGTCTTTTTTACCTTCGGTCATGCTTGTTTGTTTTAGACAGGTTTCAACTTTGTATCCCTGGCTGACCTGGAACTTGCTGCAACTTCTGCCTCTGCCTCTCAAGTGCTAGGATTATAGTTGTATGTTACCATGCATGCCTGACTTTTTCAACCTTTATTTTTTGACACTATTTTTTCACATAAACCTGACCAGAGAAACACTTTGGTCCTGTGATGTGCTACCGTTGTGTGTGCTGCATCTAAATATAAAAATACTACGAAATCTTGTTCTTTAAAAATTATGCTTATTAGCCCCCCCTTTTTCCTGTCAAGCCATTTCTAGAATAGATGCTGCTTAAATTTCTAGTTTTTATACCTTAGTCCTCATGACTCATGCTGTTTTCCATATATATAGCTATCAGTGTTGTTACCATTAGAACTGGGAATCTTAGAACTATTTCTTCATATTTCACTTTTAGAAAGTTTTCCGTCTGTTCCCTTGTTTTATGTCTCTATGGAACTGGTCTCTCTGGTTGCAGACAAATCTAGGGTTGACCCTCTAAATGATTCTTCACAGCTTCTATCCAGTTGAAACTTTTTGAGTTGGGAAAAGTATATATATATATATATATATAAACAAACTTGTCTGTCTTGTCTGGCTAGCTGTCTAGGATGAGGCAAGAGTCCCCCTCATTAAAAGTGAGTCATTTGGGTAGGAAACATGGAGTGCTTGCTTGCTTCCCACCAGATACTGATTTTTCTCACTTTACACTTTTACAGTGAGGGTCCCAAGGCTGTTGCAGCTCCTCGACCTGATCGGTTGGTCAATCGCTTGAAGAATATCACCCTAGATGATGCCAGTGTTCCTCGCCTGATGGTTCTTCGTCAGCCAAGGGGACCAGATAACTCAATGGTAGGATTCCATCGAGGGCTTGAGGGAGGCCAACTGATAAACTAGCATTATTTTAAGAACTTAAGAAACTTAGCAAAGCAGAGAACTTCAGTATTGCTTGTAGCTAGTTGGGACACCCTCCCTATAAATTGGTTCAGCCCTTTATATAATGGCTGCTTTAATTAAAAGGACATTTCCTGCTCTTAGGAGAGAACTGTTAGTGAATGATAATTAAAAATAGTACTTTTTTATTTTTTTTAGAATTTTATACTTGTGACTGATTATACTCAAATCTTTGTTACTCAGAATATTATTATATACTCAAATCATAATTATTTTGTTTCTTCACAGGGATTTGGTGCAGAAAGAAAGATCCGTCAAGCTGGTGTCATTGACTAACCACATCCACAAAGCACATTAATCCACTATGCTCAATTGGGGGGATTCTGGTGAAGGGTTCTGAATATCTTCCTCTTCATCCCTCCCAAAATCTGGAATACTTAATTCTATTGAGCTATTACACCAGTTTTAACACCTTCCTCATGTTATGTTTAAAAAAATAAATAAATTTAAGAAACCATTTTAAAATTATGCACAGTTGCAGCCTGGAAAACTTAAGGTGGCGCCTTATAGTGTCAGTTTTAGGAGCTTTATTTGGTGCATTTAACGCAACTGGTAATTGCAAAATCCACTTCGCCTGTGTTAAGTGACAAATACAGACTGTTACCTTGTTGGCCCTATGAAATTCTGCACTTGGTATTTATATACTCTACCTTCATTACTTCTGGCAAGACATCCTGCCTTAGCACTCAGTTGTGTTCTTTTTCTTTCCTGTTCATTATGCTTTAATTTTGAGGACCATATGAGGGTAGAATATATTACATTTTAAAAATTGCAAAAATTTATCTAGCAAACCATTTTCTTAAGTTGATGGCCAAATATTAAAATGTTATTTTTCCTATCATTTATAATCTTGTCACAATCCACTTAACGGAGTTTGATTAGATTTCAGTGAAAATTATCTTCCAGAGTAGGTTTTTTTTTTTCTTCCTGGGGTGGGGGGGTAAATAACTTTACTACAATTAGTATGTTTGATGCAGAATTTCATGCAAATGAAGTGTGCCAGCCGTGTGGTAATTTAAACATATTTAAACAAAAAGACGAATGCACAAACTTGCTGCTTAGACCACTGCAGCTTCTAGGACCCAGTTTCTTTTACTGATTTAAAAACAAAACAAAACAAAAAAAAAATAAAAAAGTTGTGCCTGAAATGAATCCTGTTTTTTTTATAAGCAGCCCCCTGGTTCCTGTGTCCTGTTGAATACAGGCACTTGATCCGTGGTGTAGCTTCTGTTCAGCTTTGTATCACGGGAACCGATTGGCCTGATTTCTTGGCCCTATCTGGAACTGGCCACTTTACAGGGTCCCCAGCAAGTGGACTGAAGGCTTTGTCTTAAGATGACAAGGGTCAGCTCAGGGGTTGTGGGGGAGGGCGCTTTCATCTTCCCCATTGTCATTTGAGGTTTTGATCTCTGGGTAAAGAGGCCGTTTATCTTTGTAAACACAAAACATTTTTGCTTTCTCCAGTTTTATGTTAATGGCGAAAGAATGGAAGCGAATAAAGTTTTACTGATTTTTGAGACACTAGCACCTAGCGCTTTCATTATTGAAACCTCCTGGGTGGGAGGGGCGGGACTGGGTGCGGCCGGCCGCCTGACTCCTGGGTCGCAGGCCCACGTGGCCGGGGCGGGGTCTCAGGCGCCTGCTGATTACGTAGCGGGCGGGGCCGGAAGTGCCGCTCCCGGGTTGGGGCTGTTCATGGCGGTTTCGGGGTCTCCAACAGTTTTCTCGGTTGAGGTCCAAAAGTCGCCCGAAGCTGGGTCAGCGGAGCTTGAGGTAAGGCCGGGGCCTACGTGGCCTTGGCTTCGGAGCGGAGGGATATAGCGCCGGGGCGGAGAGACCGGAACCCAGCGAGCCGGAGACAAAGGCCTGGGGCGGGGGCCGCGGCCAAACGGGCCAGGCGATCTGGAGCGGTGAAAGGGAAGTGGTCGCCAGGCCGCCTCTGGAGCCGAGCTGACTCGGGCCCAGCGGACTTGGGCGGTAGGAAGGGGGGTGGTTTCTCTCCCGGAGGCTGAGGGCGGGGCCGAGCACATTTAGAAAATACACGCGGGGCTTTCTTCGAAAAATCTGTGGCCCGCACTCACCTGCAAGTATTTTTGCTTTTCTGAATCATTTTGCGAACTAAGTGGAAGATCGCGTCTATGAAACAGATGCTTTTGAAACTGATTTTAGTAATTCCTAATTATGGAAAGCCTTGTGGTATTACTATAGGTTTGGCCTGCCAGTTTAATTGTTGCTTTCCAACAGGTTTTTGCTGGTGTGAAATGACTGAGTACAAACTGGTGGTGGTTGGAGCAGGTGGTGTTGGGAAAAGTGCATTGACAATCCAGCTAATCCAGAACCACTTTGTGGATGAATATGATCCTACCATAGAGGTGAGGTCCTGTGGTGATCAGCCATCTGACCCTATCTCTCCCTTTCGGTTTTCCCTTACCCATATCCTTTATCAGTTCTTTTAATAGTAGAGAGGAAGCAAAAAGTTATTAGAGGTACTATAGTCCATAAGATAAAGTTTTAGTGAGTTTATAAAGTTCATACTTATTCACCTTCTAAAGATTTCCTTTAAAAGTTACAGTTTTTAACAGTTTTGTAAACTGTTGCAAAGTCAGTGCTGAATTCTTGTCTTTTCATCATACATTGCAGCTCTGTTAAATAGAAGCACAAGTCACAGGAAAAGAAGTTCCATGTAGGAGATACTAGAATGGGATATTTTTCTATTTTCTTTAGCTAGTCCAAACTTTGAGTTGGGGTACAACAAGTTGAAGTTTTGGGTCATTGTACCTAGGAATTCCATCGTTACAATTTAGTATATGATACTGAGAAAATCCCCATAAGTCCCATTTTGCTCGTTATGTTAAATTTTAATAAACTTGTTGAGTTTTGGGGTACAGATTGTGTAAGTCCAGCTTTCAAGAGGCTGAGAGAGGAGGCTTCTAATGCAAGACCAGCCTGGACTGCATTATCAAGACTGTTTCCAAAATATAAAACAAATATTTTGTCTGTGAACTTGTCCACTTACCACAAAGGGTGTGTCAGATTCAGATGTCTATACAGGTTACATTTATATATACTCCAATACCCACCACCACCACACTGCCAGAAAAAACATACAGAACAACATTTCTAATACTACAGAAAGAGATACAAATACAAGTAAAATTGCTGTAATGCTAAATTAGAAGTTCCTGAGGTTGTTGATGGTTTCTTTGTTTACGTCTCACGTAGGCCAAACTGGCTTTTTGTTTTGGTTTGGTTTAGTTTTGAGACATGGTCTTACTATACATCCCTGGTTGGCCAGGCCCTTGCTTTGGTCAGCTCAACAGAGATCCATCTGTCTCTGCCTTCCAAGTGCTGGGATTACAGGTGTGCACCAACCTGCCCAGCTTCCAGACTGGATTTGAACCTATGTCAACCCTCCTGCCTCAGGCCCTTGAGGACTGCAATTACAAGCCTGCACCCTCATGCCCAGTTTAAAAGTTTTTTGTATGACTGCATGTCTGTCTGCCTGAGGAATTAATTGTACTTTGTTTGGAGACTTTAGGGATTGGTTCAGTAATATTTCTCAAAGGTGCAATCAGTTGTGTTGAAAAAGACATTTTTGATATTATAGTCTCCCTAAAACAAAAGGTATTTGTGTATTTAATCATGAACACAAATTCTGTTTCCAAGGTGGGGTGCAATTAGAGATATGTTTAATCTCTCATTCCCTAACTGCAATAGAGCTGTTTCAAAAAATATAGGTACATAGATACTTTTTTTTCTGCAGGCATGCAAGTTTGGGGCTTTTTTAAGTACTTGCTGTTTGAGGGACAAGTAAGGTAGATAGCAGTAATACTGAATAGTCAAATCCTTAACAATATACATTCTTGTGGGTTTTTTTTTTTTTTTTTTTGAGTACTATCACACTTTGAAATGACTTTGGGACATTTAACATTTTGTATATGACAACCTGACAACCATTTTA